ATGCCACAAAGTAGTTGCTAGTCTAGTACTGGAGAAATTTCAGCGTTTGGATGCGCATTGTGAGGCTTTAATCAATTTGTTGTCACAGCTGCTGTATCTAATCATTTATCTGACATGCACAAACAGTGATTTGAATTAGAATAAACGTAAGGCGTGCTAGGTGAGCCGCAGAACCGTTCGCACAGACGATATACAGAAATTAGTGCGTATACAAACAACATATAGACACGCTGTTATTTTCCTTGTGACTTGTGGTTACAGTGGCTAAAACTCCCTAGAAGCTTTTATGTTATTAATGAATTGTTCGATTATTTTTCACATGTATATTATTTGAAAATATCGAGTACATGCATAGTAAAGAGTCGACTAGCGGGTATGTATGTAAGTCCATGATGTAATAATGTATAAGCTAAACGTTACAACAATGTTCGGTAGCTATGCCAGTGAAAAGGCTGCCGAGAATGCGTGTTGCCTAAAATCATGCTCTTTTTCGTCTTAATTCATGTTCAAAATTTTGTTATCATACGGCACGAGTAACAGTATTCGCATTCTATGTCCTGCAGAAATGTCTTATTGACAAACACATTTAGCCATTCAAAAGGCATGTAATAAGAAGAAAATGCACCTCCCCACTTATCAAACCTACTGCTATACTATCGAACTTCTCCCTCGGCTATCATCTTCTCCTCTGTTATAACCATTTTCCTCGCGCTAAGAGCATCTCGCGCCTTTTTATTAAATCCAATTATAGTGGCGGTATCTGTAATTTATAGCTTGAGTGTCATTCTTTGCGAGCTATATTTTAATAGCAATGGCATTCGATTGCGCTTTCATAGACATTATGACTTGACATATAAGTTTTAACTCAGCGTACACGAAATAGCCAGGAGTGCCTATAGTAGAATTTGAAATGTGATCATCAATATTATTACGCTGGACGTGCGGGAGAGATTTACTTGATCTATTACTTGAAACGATTCAGTTTACAGATCGGCGAACATCACGCTGAAATTATCTGTGATAAACAGCCACAGTGATGTTGAATTAAACGCAGTGCTAACTCGTGCACTAGTTTTAATTAGGATTCATTCATGGTGATTGGTATTGTAAGTTTCGTGACAGTTTGCATCACCACCACAAGTGGAGTAAAGAATTCATCGGCATTGTTACCGAGTATCTGCCAGTGGATACAACAGACACGACTTTAACACACTACATAAATAAGTAGTGCTCACGCTTTGTATACAGATATATAGTCGGTTACTCGCATTTTGCCAAGTGATGATTAAATAAATGCTGCAGAAATTGAATGGTTACTTATATGTACCTCGAATGTGGACGTGCTCCTCATGCTTAGGGCTGCATGCTTGGTAGTTACGTTCACCAAAAAAAATTCGCTTCATCCTTATGGAAGACCGATATAACAGCATTCAACATATTTTAAAATGGAATCGATTGTTTATCAAGAACAATGAAGATTCCCCTTTTATTTGCCATAAAATGCTGTATAATATTTAACACGGTATTCTCTCTCTCACTCTCACTCTTACTTGCTCTCCGCAACCCTGTCTTGTGTCAGTTCAAACTACAATCTCAACAGGGACGAGAAATTAGCGCCCTATATTACTCGAGAATCTGGTCCTAGCCAATCCTTATCGGTTTTTAATTACTATAGCTACGTGCGTACATGTATAGCTAGCTATACACGGGGTAACACTCAGTAAAGATTTTTGACACTTACCTCACTCTGAGCACGGAGCCGTCTGTTCTCTTGTTTCCATGACAACGCGGTAAAGCTCTCAAAGAAACACCCATCGGCTTCTTGCACTCTGCAATGAACCGAAAACAACGATATAGCCCCAAAATACAATTAAAAATGGCAAACAATATTCGGACAGCCTAGCTATTATTATAGCGACAAACTGAAACGGATAGTAAGATAAGCAACATTTAGTTCAGGAAAATTTACAGTAAAATTAAGCTACTCTGGATGAAAATTTGTGAGGTAAAAGCGTTTGACCTGACCTTCGTTTCATTTAGGTGTGGTAAACTTCATGTTGTAAATGGTGGGTTATTTGTAAGGGATGAACCATTTCCGCTGGGCATAAATATAAACAAAGATGTATATTTTTGTTTAGCTGATTTCGTACTTTTATTATTCGCCTAGCTTGCACTGAAATTGGGTTATAGCTGTTTATTGTCGTTTTGGCTGTAAATTGTATTCAAACAAGATGTTGACTCAGAGACCTTCGTCATGTTGCCACGTCTATCTAGACGTGTATCTGAAGCTAGCGACAACTGCTCCAGCCCTCCGCATGCGATTCGGCAGAGATTTAATAGACCAAATGCCATAAACACGTAGTACGCGCATCCATGTAACCACAGGTCGTATGCACACAATCGCACTGGTTTCGCAGGCGAATACATGTCTTACTAGACCGTAGACGCATTGCTAATTGATGAAATAAGTGTTTGATGATATTTCGCGCTCGCGAGACTAAGACATTACAATCTCTGCCGAGTGGCATGCGGAGGATTGGAGCAGTTGCTGCTAGTATCGCTCTATAAAATATGCCTGCATACATGCCGAAAAATATCTGAATAAACACCGTGTTTGAATACAATGTATATAGATTGTACAATATGTTGTATATATATATATATATATAATTATATATATCAATTATCTCTGGATAAAGCACACACTAAGTACGCTAACACGGTAGGCAAAACAACTGACAAGGAGCCAGGAGTGGAGAGGAGAGGAGGGAGGGAGGACAGACGCCTGCGGACAAGACCCATGCACGTGCACACGCATAGTAGGCCTACCCGACGCTAACATGTCCCTTTGTAAACATCTCTCCCACCGCACAGCCGTAGTTAGAGCAGTTGAATGTCGTAATATCACTAGCACACAAGTCTCGTGCGTGTCTCTAAACCCGACGCATACAGTTCCATTTTTTTTGTCATAAAGAAGAGACATAACAGTCTCCCGTGCACACAGACGAGCTTTGAAATGCGTCGCGCGTGAGGTTCCTCATTCCCCTGTCAGGAAATAATCTTGCGCGGAAGAATGGAGAAAGACAAGCTTGCCCTCATGCTGCTGAAAGGGACAAGAGACGTCAAGCGTCGAATCGCTGAATTCGACGAGAGACAGTGAAACTATTTATACTGATTCGACTCATTCAGAAAATTCAACAGTATTTGGAAAACAGTCGAGATAATTGTATAGCTACGAGCACGGAACGAGAGCACGTGGCACAATCCGCTAAGCACAGCCGTAAGTGTGTATGAACACTCAGTGCTGTAAATGTGACCTCACATCATTACATATTGTCAATGAACTTCTTGACAATACGTTCATACTAATTGAGTTCTGGGCAAAATAGGATTCACGGTCGAGCAGCAGCAACAGCAACAGCAGCAGCAGCAGCAGCAGTAATAGCAACAACAACAGCAGCAGCAGCAGCAGCAGCAGCAGCAGCAGCAGTAGCAGCAGTAGCAAGAGCACAGCATTCGCAGTAGCACAGCAACAGCAATAGTAAGACCACATCAGTAGCAAGAGCAGCGGCAGCACGAACACGAGACGAGAGCGCGTGGCACAAGCCGCCAACCACAGCCGCGTTTATATGAACACTCAGTGCTGTCAATGTGACCTCACATCATTACATATTCTCAATAAACTTCTTGGCATATTTCCATACTAATCGTGTTCTGGGCGCAATGAGATTCACGGTCGAGCAGCAGCAGTTACAGTACAGCAGTAGCAGCAGTAGCAACAACAACAACAGCAGTAGCATCAGCAACAACCGCAGCAGTAGCATCAGCAACAGCCGCAGCAGTAGCAGCAATAGCAGCCGCAGCAATAGTAACAGCAGCTGCAGTACAGCAGTAGCAGCAGTAGCAACAGCAGCAGCAGCAACAACTACAGCAGCAGCAGTAGCAACAACAACAACAGCAGTAACAGCCATAGCAGCAGCAGCAGCAGCAACAGCAGCAGAAGTGGCAGCAACAGCAGCAGCAGTGGCAGCAGTAGCAACAGCCGCAGCAGTAGCAACAACAGCAGCAGCAGTAGCAACAACAACAGCAGCAGTAGCAACAACAACAGCAGGAGTACCAGCAACACCAGCAGCCGCAGCAGTAGCAACAGCAGCAGCAGCAGTAGCTTCAGCAGCAGCCGCAGCAGGCATGCAGTAGCAGCAACAGCAACAGTATGCAGGTGACTCGTCCTACTCGACAACAATCCCGCAACCTTCACTGCAAGGCTTCCGCGTGCGGCCCTTCGGGTCCGCCGCAATGGTGAAGATAATTTTCGCAAGATCAATCTAAAGGTTCACAAGGAAGAATAAGGGAGACAGAGAAAGCAGCAGCGAGAGAGCGCGCATGAGTGATGGCGGGAGTGTGAGTGCATGAGAGAGGCAAGGCGCGACAGAGACGGACAGTGAAAGAAAGAGAAAGTGTAAGTGAAAGAGGGAAGGCCATCGACAAGGAGACACCACAGGCCCTTGAAGGCTCAAGTTTCAAGTTTCAAGTTTCGAAGCTTCGCTCTTTTACTCTTCTTAAAACTTGAAACTTGAAACTTGAAACTTGAAACTTGAGCTTCCAAGGGCCCGTGGAGACACATACAGCGAGAAAGAAAGAGAGAGAGAGAGAGAGCGAGAGAGAGAGAGAGAGAGAGAGAGAGAGAGGAAATAGAAAGAGATAGGGAGAAAGACCACCTCCTCGTCAACTTCAAAAGTACTAGAAATGGAAAATGAAATGCGCGGTGGCGTACGCATAGAAGCAACACCGAGCTCTGTTCGTCTATCAAACAATTTCCGCAGCCGACACCGCCGCCATTGTGTGGCGACGCCACAGGAGAGAGAGAGAGAGAGAGAGAGAGAGAGAGAGAGAGAGAGAGAGAGAGAGAGAGAGATAGAGAGAGAAATAGAGAGCGAGAGAAAGAGGAAGAGAGATGATGCAGGATCAGCCGTGAAACAGTTTGCACTCCATACTAGTATAATATCACACGTCTCTCTCTCTCTCCTCTCTTCCTCACTTTCTCTCTCTCTGTTTTCCTGTCACTCCTGCTCCCGCTCTCGCGTTCGCTGTCTTTCGTCGCATCGCCGCAAGATCTGGCGCGTGTTGATGAACCGCACGCGCTGCAGCTATCTCCGAGACCTCACAGAAAACACCAGCGTATCCGCGTACACGGCGGTACTGTTCGGCACACTCGCGCAAGGCGGCTCGGCGCCCCTTTACACACTCCGCACATAGAACTTCGCAACTCGTCGCCACCAGATAAAATACATTTTGCCACGCGTCATCCGAGCCATATAAGTTTAAAATGGGGCACCGCGGCGCTGCAGAGACGTCCTCTCGGGAAATCACCGACGCACGCGCTTATCGTATGATCTACTGTCAATCGACGTACTCCTGCATATTTCCGAGCGTGCACTTCAACGTTTGCATATCACTCCACGCGCCGAGCGCGTTGCCAACCACCTGCTGCGCACGAAAGGGATGTACGTACTGGGGCCGGCTAGTGAAGGCTTTCGTCTCTCTTTCAATCAATGGATGCGCGTGCATGAATTTTTCATAGGCTCTGAATAGCAAAAGCAATATTGATGTCGCATCGCACACGGCACACATTGAATACGCTGTAGCCAGGTGGGTGCGCTTGTATAGGCCTATATATATATATATATATATAAGGGATAGATAGTAGGGAGTAGGAGTAGGAGTAAGGAGTAGATAAATCTAATAGGATAGATAATCGGATATATAGGACTATCTAATAGGAGTAGATAATCAAGAGAATATATATATACTATATATATATTGCTGCTATATATAATATATATACTAGCAATATACCCGTCCCATGGACGGCCTGAATTGTATCGATCATTAGTCTGAGAGTTGGTGTTATGCACAAATGAAATTAGGATTTCAAATGTATGGAAATTCATGAAGTTCATCATTTTTATCATTTTATTATGATATTACAGCACTTCCTCATAAACCACATTTCTCCTGGTGTAAGTCGGTGTGTGTGTATTTTTACTCTGTCCTTGCACCCGATTCGTGACAGGGCAACATACGAAATGGCGTGTGAAAATACTGGAGAAGTGGGGTCAAAACCGATGAACGTTAATGTGCAAAATTTATTGTATTAATGTTTCTCATAAACGAACATGACAAAGCAATACAGCATTTATATTTTCTAAATGTTACATTTTGTTGAATGTGTATGCAAAGTAAATAGAAATTAGAAATGAGTAAAAAGTACCATGGTTGTCATGGTTACACTCTAGCAGACAACTGGGTGTATAATCAAACAATCACATACATATACAATCACACTTTTCATAATGATTATAATCAAAATTTCAATAAAGTAAATATTTCTAAATTATATATTATATCGAATGTATATGCAGACAAATTCGAATTTTCAAAATACTAATGAAAGTAAATGAATCACTAAATGCATGTATTTAGCTGCTTTTGTAACTCAACTAACAACTGGGTACATAATCATATATAGATGCATTCACAACTTTCATCGTGAAATAATGAGCAGATATTAAAAAGTAAATATTATTTCTCCAAACATATGGATATATATAATATATCACATCATTTTAACAAACTGAGTTGGTCAATTTGGCACAGTTCTGCATCAGTGAAGTCACCAATGATGACATAATCAAAAAGATGGATAGAACCTGATTTTAACAAACTCGATTCTTTCCGAAACAATTTTTCTCCGTTTCCATTCAAAGAACTGTCATATGTTCACGGCTTTATAATACTTGCTTTACTACAACGCATATAACACAAATAA